AACCAACCTTAACACATTGAATGACAAAACTTTTCTTGCTGTAGTAAGGTGAGTCGTTAAAATTTCACAAAGCTCACCTCATCTTCTTTTGCACGTTTCTACGCGCGTTCTGTTTGATCGTTGATTCTCTTTCGTTATCATTATCCTAGTCGTTTCATTAACCAGACCGTCGCATTTGACCCACATTCAAACTACAGAACAGATTTACATTCTATATTACCCACGTCTTTCCGTCATCGTGCACATTAGCGTATATTAGTATATGATATATGTTGCATTAATAAAAAGGTAACTCTGCTGCTACGAGTAAATTTAAAAAAAAGAAAAGTTAAAATAAAAAAGAAATAAAAAGAATTATATCGTATAATAAATCAAAAAAATTTCACATTTTTTGCAGTAATATTCTCCAAGTTTTCAAAGCAAAATAGCGATTTTGCATTTCTTTGAGAATTTGAGATCTTTTTTTATTAAGATCATCGTTTTATAGTCATTTTAGGGTCTGCGTAGTTTATTTTGTAATGCAAGTATTCCTCCGTGGCAATGTTATAGATCGCAGGACGACAACAACGCAAGCTCGCAAGATCCAATCTGAGAAATGCTACCTGCATCGCCATGGAGAATTCGACTGGGTTTGTCGACGTCCAATCTTCAAACAATGCCGTCGCTCGGTGCTTTTCATTTCCTTCGTCTCTAAAGTGCCCTTTTTGCAGACAGTTTCTTCGAGCATTGTTTGATCACTTATTCTCTTTGGCTGTTATTATCCTTCCGTCCAGATATATAATGCAACGGTCGCTTCGAGTGCACGTTTCGCGGCCACGTCGCGTCCGATGTAATCTCATTTTTGTCGAAACTAGGTCGCGAAGATTCGCACAATTTTTTCGCACCGGTCACGATCCGCCAGTCACGATTGTTTAGTTTCTTTTTATTCTTGTTGTTTAGTTTTATTCCTGTTTCTTTGTTCCGTGGTGTCCGCGAAATTGCAATATTTGCCGCTCCCTTTATTCATCCGCGGAAGAAACTGCGAACGGTGACGCTGTGCTGGCAATCGTCGGTTTGTTCACTCTGACACGAATCTCGGTTCCCTGAAATTTGACATCCTGCAGCGCAAAATACAGCGGAATGGATGCAGTTTAATTTTTCGAAGCTGACGACCCAGCGGTTGCACGAAGTAAAAGCTCCGCTTCGTGGATAAGCCGAGAAAAATATGCAGAAAGAACGTGGGCTTTGACGTGACGTTTACTTTTACATCTTGCTTTTATTATTCACTCGCATTATGCATTCCTTTCGCCTCGCTGCAGATTTTAACGAAAAGATAAAAAAAAATCTCTTGCTTTATTCTCATTAGTCGCTCCGTTACATTCGTGGATTACACAGTAGGAAAACCCGTACGTCTCGGCAAATGCGGTAGATATTATTACAATCCTTTAGAGATACGTCGTAACTTGATGCACGAACGCGAAGCTTTCGGAGATCGAGTCTTTTATCAAGCCGCTTTATCGATATTAGAAAAATTTTCAGGGCACAACCCGCGTGTTATTCGCAGTATTGTCTGATCTTTGATTCCCTTTTTCCGTCTGCGCTCTTATATCTTCAAGGACGGGTAAGAACACTGTAGTGCACTCAGCTGGAATTCCGCCTCCAACTCCGGGCCAGATTTACGTTTCGCACGATTCGCCACAAATCCGTCTTATTCGAGACGAGAGAACGTCTCCCGGCTCCCGCGGCTCCGCTTTTCTCGCGTGAGTGTGTCTCGAAAGCTTCGATAGTCCGCAGACTTCCGTCCTCAGTATTGCACGTACGTTTGATCGGTGATTTCTTCCTTCTTTTTCTGTCCTCTCCCACCCTTCTTTCCTCTTCTTTTTTTCGTTTCGTTGGTATATCATACGATGGCGGCATATACAGCCGTGAAATATGTATGCCCGCCTGAGGCGGGCTTTTTAAGCTTGGCCGTGCTCCAAAGGGCCTAGGGCGCGAAGTCGCGTCATATTTCCTAAATCATCGCACGGAGTTGAACGTGTCCGAGGAAACGAGCGATCGAGCGGGAATTTCCCACGAAATTTTCCCCCGATAGCATCGTGAAGCTCTTTCCGCGCGAGTAATTCTCGATCCTGATAAACGCCTTCATGACTCAAATGCCGATCGCATTAAATGCGCGGATAGTTAAAGCTTTGCCGATAAACCACGAAGTAATTTCCTCGTTGTACGCCACTTGTTAGTAATAATCCCGATAATCTGTTCGAATCTATCTCACAATGCATGTTAAAGCTGTTTATTTTGTTTGCTCGTGTACTACTTTGCGAAATAAATTGAAACCACGAAATACGAAACGGCAGGAGTTTATTTCTTAATATTATGTACGATGTTGCTACTGTTTTTGTCATGCGTAATTGTAATTAGATTGTATAATATATTTAAATAATGAACAAGACTATTGCAGTTTGTTCTATCTGTTGCATGTTTTACATTAAACTGTTTCAAAAATTACGTGGCAAATGTGCCACACTGAGTACGAAACGTATATGAAACAGAAGCGCAAAATAAATTGCATTTTTTTGTCGCAGTTATGAGTTGTAAATTAACCAATAACTAGAGATTGTTGAGGTAATTAAAAATGTTATAATGAAATTGCAGTGAGAAAAGATACAATGTACCGAAATTCTTGCCATCCTAGCCATTACAAGAATACAAAAGCTTTTTCTGCGAAGCGTATCGTATTTAAAAGACCCTTGAAATAAACGAAATTGGCGAAAAAGAGAACTATTTCATGAAACGCACATCATAAAAGCGAATCAATTGCTGTACAAGCAATTGTATCAATGAACACGACTTGTTCACATCAATAAATTTTGCATTTGAAACCGTACTTTGACAATTCGCTTTTCTACAAAAAAATATCAAATAATTAAATCTGTAAAATAAAAAAAATATATATAAATTAAAACTGTATTTAACAAACCTATTGAAATTCTCAAATATTATATTTTCCATAATAAGGTACAATTGATTCTGTGCAATTAACAATTTGATATAAAAAATGATAAAAGAATGATACACGTTATTAATACCAATTAGAGTCATGTATTTCAATAAATTATATAATATATAGATGTTTTAGTTGCAGATTGAATCATCCTCAGTATATATGAACAGTCATTATAGCATTGTCAGTGATTCCATAACTTTGTGGTCAAAATTCGAAACTAAAATTGTCTCCACATCTTGTGAAATGTAAATGTTACTTCAGAATAGATGTTGCTCAGTTAAATGTTTCAATTTTACATGAGTCACATCTTCAATCTGAAGTAACATTTACAATTTCACAAGACATTGTGGAGATAATTTTAATTTTGAATTTTGACCACAATGTTATGGAATCATTGACAACTGCTGTAATTATTGTTTATATATGCTGTGAGGAATGTATATCTGAGACCAAAATGTTTATGTTATATAACTTGTTGAAATGTATGATTTTAATTAGCACTAACATGGTTTTTTAATTCATTTTTTATACCAAATTGTTATATTTTCAAAATTTTGCAATTCTATAATTTAAAAATACCAAATAACATGTATATCTGCAAAATTTAAATATTATATATTTATAATTATAAATATATTTTTACTGCTAAAATAAGGAAAAAGTAAAATTTTATTTGATTATTTTTGTATATTAGTAAAAGTGTAAATTATAGAATCTGAATGTCAAAGCACGGTCCTTAGCAATTATATGTTAAGTACTAGCACATGATAATATGTCAGATAATAATATTTTGTGCAATTATATAGATTTAATTGACTCACCAGTTGCTGAATTCTACAGCACATCTTATCAGTTGTATCTGAAGAAATTAATATATGTTTTATATAGTTATTAAAAATTATCATACATTTTATGTATGTTGATTGTTACGCATCATTATTTAATTATTTTTATTTTGATTAAAACATAAGTATATGTAATAAATTGTGTAAACAATTATTCAAAATTTTTAATAAATATTCAATAACTGTTTTACATTGTAACACATTAAGTACACATTGTAATTGCGTATATTAGTGTTAGCATAATTATGCACTGTATTTAAATGATGGAGAAAAAATTGTACTCACCAGCTACAATATTATAGTTTGCTTTGTCCGTTGCAGATTTCAGATTAGATCTCTGCATTAGCTTTATCGCAGAATCGATGAATACCAAAACTTATTGTCAGTAATGCACCAGTAAATCTTGCTTCCATTTCTCAAGGCTTTACGTCGTAAATTTGCCACACAATGCAAAGTAAGACTTAATTTGTGCTGCAAAGCACCACGTAGATAACCTATTTTTCTCATCTTACATGTTCAGCGATCGACTTGAAACAGTGTATATTTTTAGAGTGAACGAGACAAACGACGATTATCTTGGTGGTCACTCAGAGATCGTCAGATTTAGATACCTATACAACAATTATTTTTTACAAAAAAATCCCGACAAACTGAATTTCAACATGCTACATTTAATGATAAATATAACCGATGAAAAATTCGATCCCCTTGAACGAACATAGGGATCATTTTCGTGTGTTGTGGCATTAAAATGTGTACTCACCGAGACTGACTTTTCTTTCTCTCTTTCTGCTTTTATTCTGCACTACATGATACCTGATTGTCAACGAAATGTTGTGAATCACGCGAAACCCGATAATAAATAATATATTGCAGCAATCGCCCGTCACTTTAATCGGCACTCCCGACGAAATTAATACTCATTACGCACTTTTAACGGATAAAATACACGAATAATCGCGAAACGTTGAATGCTCTGCGTTCAGTGCCGTTGCTTGATAAAAAACAAAATGGCAGCGAAAAAGCACGCGAAACGTCGGTAACATTGATAATCCATACCGACGATCAATTTGAATATTAATACCGACAATCAACACCGACGATCAATATGGATTACGCCATCTTATGGTCATGATAGTTACTATTTCATGCTACGAGATTGTAACGGACACTTGGACGTACAACGCAAACGCTCCGGTTAATAGCAGCTTTAATTGATTAAAAGTGCGTAATTAGTAAAAATTTTGGTCGGGTACGTCGATCAAAGTAATGCACAATTGCCGGAGCATATTATTACCGCGATTAATCATAGATGCACCGTGAATTGAAGCCGATACGGTCTAGGTGAGTACGGGCTTATATCAGTCATTTTCATTAGTTGTAACATTTTGAAAGTTCACTTCGTTTGAACTACATGAAAACGTTTAGTTTAAAATATAGTTGTTATGCGTATTTGTAGGTATCTGCTGACATTGCGTGGTCTCCAAGAGTCGTTCATTTTGCTAGCTCTGAGTGCGTGTACAGTATCAGTTATAATTATGTGCGTGGACGCGTTGCGGCATAAAGTATGTTTTATCTCATGTTTCGTGTATTACAGTGTGATAGATTTCCGACGTAAATTCGTGTGATGTGTATGTTAGTGAAATGTGCGTGTTAGTGAGTTAATTTTCACTCGGCAGTGCGTAAATTATAAGTGTTGGTTTTCTATATTCATCGATTCTTCAATAAAGCTGATGCAAAGCAGATTGAAGCGGAATTAGCAGCGGATGAAGCAAACTGCAATACCCTAGCTGGTGAATATTTTTGATATTCTTGTCCACTATTTAAATATGTACATATAATTGTAGTGCTAAATACACACACAATTTGTACTTATTAAATATTTATTTATATGAGATACGTTCAAAAATATTTAATAAAATATTAATTGAAATATTTATTAAATATTTATTAAAATTCTAAAGTAATTTATTCACGCAATTTATTGCACATGTTTATACTTTGATCAGAATGGAAATAATTAACTATTAATAATTATCATATATGAAACGTATGATAACTAAAATATATATTAATTTTTCCAGGTATAGCTGAAGGCATACTTAGCTAGGGTACAACAATCGGTGAGTAAATGTATTCATTATCTTGCATAATTGCACAAAATACTGATTTCACATATTTGTTCATTCACTGATGATTATGTATACAATTATTATTGTGCTTAGACAATCATATCTTTGTCTATAGTTTGCATTTTTGTAAACAAATCTATTTTTTCTCTTAATAGTGAAATATTTCGTACAAGTTATATACACATATTATTTATTATTTTATGGCTTCCATTTTCTTTTTTATTTATAATAAAAATTAGTTATATTGTCCTTAGTTTAATATATTTTTGCAAAAGTCATTTTCTCATGAAAAATAACATCGGAATAGCCATGAAGAATACTGAAGATATTTTCTTACAGACATGTAGTATCGACACGTATATATATCAAGAGATATTACATCGTATTACAGATAAGAATGTAAGCTATAATATCGTTTCGATATCCGGTCGCAGGTGCCAGTACGTAACCAAGTAGTGTGCAAAGAATATATGCCGTACACGCAAACTTTCGATGAAAATAAAGATACGAGGTGAGACTATTCTTTATTACTTCTTGGAAAATAGCGTAATGAAGCAATTATGTTGTTATCAATGAGTAATACAAATTTAAAAAAAGAATTGAAGCCATGAAGTATTAAGTAATGAAAAAATGAAAATGTAACAGTTCTAAATTTCATATGTGACTAAATTGAGCAAAACTAGCTCTGTGTAATTAATATTTAAAGCAAGAAAATTTAAAAATACTTGAATATCTTTTTTATAACATATGAACGATAAAATATAGAATAATGACTTAAAGTCTTTTGTAATATTCATATAATTTTGTCACATTTTATATAAGAATAGAACTGCTCCATGAAACGAGAAAACGAATTTTCCCATGGTAGATGAAATGTCAATATGGTTTACGGTTATGTAATTATTGTAGAATCAGGGTTGAATTTCTTGCGGAAAATGTGTTCGACGGCGTAAAAAGTGCATCATTATATTAAATAGCGCGCAATTTACATAACGATCTTGTAATTACCTATCGCTTTAAATCGGAATATTCCATTTTTAACGTAAAAAAAGGAGAAAATAAAAATAAAAAATACAGGACTCGGAAAAGACGCACATGTAATCAAAGTGTAATTTAATGGCGCAGTACGAGTTCAGCCGCAGATATACGTAACGAGTTATCTGCTCGTCGAGCGCGAGTTATCAGACGTAATAATCATGTCGTTAAATGTGCTCTAATTTTCCTCACTCGCTACAGTAGATGGGACATTCCTCGTTAAAATTCATGACACATCATATTGATATATTGATCAAACATATCTGCAATAAAAATATTTTTTAGTAACGATATCTGGCACACTTATATTATTAGCAATCATATCTTGCTTTAAAAATGTTTCATAATTTGTTGCTTTGTGAAATAATAATCATAATTAAAATAAGCATTTCTCCTCGTTAAATATTTATAATTACATATGAGTAAATTAAATTAATATAACAAGTTGGATACAATTTCGATCGTTATCTAAGATAGTTGCAAATGTGCGATCAATTTTTAATTTGCAAAATGTTCCAAGTTAAAGAATATGCATATGTTCATAACATTAAACGATGAAAATTATTATGTTTCAAAGCACACAATAATGCCCAACAAAACTTGGGAAATTCAAGAATCTCTCGAGTCATATGATTATAATGGTAACGCAAAGAGTAAACTCAAATAGAGACAAAATCACCAACCTCCATGCCACTGTGGGTTTACTTCCTATTATTAGTTTAATATATTTATAAGATATTCCAGAATTGTTATAATTTCTTGCATCTATAGATTATTTAATTAATTTAAAGTCAACTCTTTCTTGATCAAAACTCCATTGAATCCTTTTCATAACGTTTTAATTTTCTATGTTAGATATCACGGCAGAGCCACAAACTTTAAGATTCTACAAAGTATACTCGGAACTAATTGCTTCTTTCTGAAATTAATTAAGTTTATAAAAAGTTCCTCATGCGCTGAAGACTTTACTAACTTGTCTTGATATTTTTATTGGAAAAACGTCATTTAAACCAACAAAAAAGTCCGCGGATAAAAAATAATCTTTAAATATCTTACGCATCTTTTCGCATTACAAATTAATTAATTTTATGAAGTGATAATCCTTAACGAACATTGCGTAACGGATATAGAAATAGTAACATTTTTCCAAACAACATAGCAGCGCTACGTAAAAACAAGCAAAAGTGAGCGAAGTAGCGAGAGTGCTGTTTTTGTTTACATCTGAAGCACGTAAACAGCAGTTCGCTCGCACGAGGCAGGATTTCGGGGAATTCCTTTTCCCATACAAGCGCTGGCTTTCTTTTTTTCACATAGAATACCGTCGCTTTCGAAGTGATTTTCCACGAAGCAAGTAGGTTGGCGATAAGACGAAGTGAGAAAGAGAGAGGAGAGAAAGAGAGATAGAAATTTCTGCACGTTATCCCCCTTCTTGGCTCGTAGATGCTTCAATTTCAAGGCAATTCTCGACTCTGTGCCGGCTGAGACGCAATCCACGAAGCGGGACCACTATCGCGGCCGCAAAACGAGATTTCGATCGCGCGGCGAATGAACTGACGCGAGTGACGATGAGCTCGACAACGATTTCGCGATAATTCGTGGCTTGCCGCGTCGCGAAACACAATTTGCCAATTCGCGCAGCATGGAATCTTCGCGAGCATTAGCTGGACATTCGAGTCATTTTGTCGAGAATATATAGCGTCGCAAATATTCTAGTATCTACAAATATTCTAGCGTTCACAAGATTTCGTTAAGTTTTCTCATTTTCAATGCAACCGTACAAGTGCACGTTGCATGTGCATACATATATGCTCATGATTACGAAAGTAACCCAAGCTACATATATTTTCTTTTAAGATAATTAAATTCTTGTGCTTTATAAATTAAATTATTCTTTGACCATTTCTAATTGTCTTTTTGCAATGATAAAGTTTTTGATACTTTTAGCATATTTTACTATTTTATTAATGTATTTTAATAACATAATTTAATAATTGTAATTTAGGTCACATTTTATTATAACATATAAAAACATATAAAAACTTATTAGCATGATTTATTTAATTTTATTTATAAAGCTAAAATTTACAAGAAATGATTAAGATAAAAAATCAGATAAAAAACCAGCAGTTGAAGGTTGAAGGTCTTTGTTGTAAATATAAAATAATTAGCGTCGGTTTGTGTAGTTAATTTATCTAGTACTGCGATTTCATTTTTATTATTCTAAAATGTAATTGCGGAAAGCTACAACGTCATACGTAAAATTAAATAATCTCATTTAGTTATTTACTGTTTTTTCATTATCATTATTCTTTCCTGTCTTCATTAACTTCACGTAAACAAATTTATAATCTAGGTAAATTTTCAATTTTACGAGTGTTTGCTCTTTGTGAAATATATTAGATAAAAAATAGTAAAGAGAGTGAGACAGCAGAAACATTGGCTGGACAGCATTGCATTATTGTGTCTTATTGTTAACGTCAACAACATTAGGGACCAAATCGCCTAAGAGGATATATATGGTAACGATGTCGATTTTTAACACTTTTGTTCACTGCAATGAGATCTTCCGCAGCCACGCTGTGAGAAGTCCGGGGAACGTTTTATCTATGTGGCGAACATCAGTTACCCGAAAGCAGAATAGGGCCTTTTATCTTACTTTCGCCCCGGCGTAATACTCGGCTCAATTTTGAGCGGTCTCGGCCCCTGAAAGTCAGAACTCTTCCCGTCGTGGTGGAAGATAGATATTATATGTTGGAAACAGGACATTAAGTCGAAAAGCACACAAGTGCAAGCCTCTTACGTTCGCTCAAAAAAATGAGAAAAAAGAAAAGTAAGAATTCTATCCGTGGACTCCGGTAATCTAAATTTTTTTCTCCTACGAGCCTGTGTTCACCGGCGGAACAAATTCGCTCTCCGCGAAATTTCAGCGAATTCTCTCTCTTCTTCTCTTTCTCTTTTTCAACCTATCCAGTTTGTCCTCCTTTCCCGGCGTTGAATTTCGTACTCATCCTCGGTACGTGGACGTTGTAGTTCGACGCAATTCGCGTTTATCGAGTGGGACAAACGAGGCAGGATACTTCGTCTAGGTTGTTTGGTCATTCAATCAGGCCTGCATCCATGATAGTGTACAATACACCCAGCATAAGTGTGACAAAACTACGTGCAATTGAGAGAAACATTTTATGCTTCTCTTGCTTTGTAAAATATTCGCGTAAGAATTTAATACGCGTATTAGTTGTAATAATAATTTCTCGATAAGTACGTCAGTGAAGAGAGATTGTTTCGGATAATAATAACAATAAATTTTTATGGCAGGACACGTCCAAATACAAATAATTATTCTATACTTGTGAATAATCGTGCAATCGCAAACATTACGCTTTTATTGTAATTTCTGAAGTATATAAAGTATAATAGTATGCGCATTCGAATTTATGTACGTACTATTACACCTCTGCAAGAAGCTTTTCATGCGACACTTGCAAGTCCAGCCATCCACTCGCGTCTAATCCTCTAACTTCGTATGAACAGTCAATTAAATTAGTCGTACGAGCACCCGAGGCACCTATCGGCGATCCTCTCCAATCACTTGCAATTCCGCTAATACGGGCCGACGTACAGGTGGTACCCGAGACCAATTAAGTGCATAACATCTAAAGTCGAAATCGCGTTAGTTCGAGATCCTTCATTCGCCTCAGCTTACGGTATCTCTTACAAACATATTACCTAGAGATGCCCTCGCCATCGCCAGGTTCTCTGAACTCGATCCAAGTCCGCGCAAAGTGGCCCACTTCGTTTGATCAATGACCCCCGTTTCCCCCTCGCCACTCCTCCCCCTCCCCCCCACCCTTCGGTATTGACGTTACATACACATTTTAAAACGTATCTCATTACATTATCGCAGACCGGAACGATTAGGTGCTTATCTCGCAATGCCCCGCGAGTTTTCGACAGAT